GAAAAAAAAAAAACACCTATAAGCTATTAACATTATTAGCAGGGTCATTTAAAACATGTGTTCGTTTTTCCCATGCATCTTTTAGATATTCTTTAATACAAGTATCAAAAATTAAGCCAAGAGTCGAATTTGTTGAGAAAAGATCATCAAGCAAGTAATGAATTTTTAGATGTGGTGAACCATTGGAGAAATTTTCCCAATATTCATGTAAATTATTTTTAAATAGAGCAATTTTAATTTCATGGAAGGTATTAGCCCTAATATTATTAAATTGTGGGCATTCTAATAGAAAGTGCTCTATATTTTCAACAGAGTTACAGTTACATAATTTGCAAAAACCTGTGCACCCATCATACCATGTACTTTTCCTACCTTCTAAAGCTAAACAATTAGACCTTGCTTTAAACTTAAGGCTGATTAAGTTTTGAGTACAAAACTCAACGATAAATTCCAAGCGTTAACTTCGTTGAGCAGTTTCCGTTGAGCAGAGCACGAAAGTCCCAATCGAATACGGCCGATGAATTCTGGAATTTCCCGTTATACTGGCCCTCTATGTCAGATTGTATGGAATAGTTTCATGTGAAGACGTCTGAGACGTAACATCGGGAACATTCCGATTGTATACAGTAACAATGATTCCTAAATTTTATATTGTTGAACAAAACTAGACGGGAAATGTCAACAAGTCTGTAGAATGGCGGCCATTTTGAAAAATAAAAAATAAAAAAGGCCGCTTCCTCAATTTAAAAAAAAAGCCGGACGTGAAACATGTTTTTTTTTTACTTGGCCTTAGTTGGACCAGTAGACAGCCAATCATTTTGACACCTGACTCGATCGTAGGTGACGGGGATTAAATGGCGGCAGGGAAACGGTGTGATCGTGGTTCTGTTTGTGCTTATGGTCTCTATATAGGCCTATGCGCAAGGCTGTCCAATTAAATTTCAGAGAGTACCTTAAACATTTTTGTATATAATCAAAATATATCTCTTAAATTCGAGAGAGACGGAAGGGGAGGGGAGCGCCAGAGGCGGCGCTTCAATAAAACACGTGCATCCCTATAAACTCTTCACACTAAAAATAGCTGATCAAAATTTAGCTAAAGTTTTAAAAATCATCTATCACCTTATTTTGACAACAACAATAATAATAATAATAATTATGGATTTATATAGCGCCTCACGTGCACCCTTTATACTTAAAAATCGGTCTCTTGCTTAAATTTCGTCCCCTTGTCTTAGAACTTCATAAATTTCTAACTAAACAGGGGTACCAAGCTATTTTTCTAGCAAAAACACTAGTTAATATGCCCACAGGAAGATGTCAAAGAAGATGCGTTGCGTATGGCTGTGCAAAGGCTAGTGTGTTTGTCATCTCAAATTAACACAAGCACTCCCTCGTTAGTTGCCATGTCTACATCATCGAAAATACAGTAGTGCAATATTTTACGAATGCCCGCATAGGAACCTTGGCCCTCGCAGAGGTCTGGTTTAAAAATAATTTTGAACAAATTAGGGTCGGCTCGGCCCCACTTGAATCTGCCACTGATTATTACGATGTCATTGCGAGACTGCGTCAACGTAACACTGGAGTTTGTAAACTTTTGGTAGGCTCATGCATCATATCCATGTTAAAGGCTGAAATTAAGAAAAACAGTAATCCTATGTATAGATAATATTAAACACTATATACGTACGGGCCATGATTGATAATAATATACAAAAAGAATAAATCGTTTATAGTAGAAACTGTGCACTTTTGAGTTTGTAAAAATATTGGCCTAATAAGGATACATGCTTCCAATTTTAACAGCCTCTGATAGTCGTTGCACCCATTAGAAATGTGAACAGACAAAATTCATGAGTCATGCGTAATTGTTATTCTTTCCATTCACTTTTAAATAGTGGGATTTTAATTATAGAAGATTGGTGAAAAGTGGGGGGGGGAACAATCGACGCCCATGCCCATGCATGCTGGGGATACTAGGAGGTTCAAAACCACCCTGAATCTGCCACTGGAATAAATGAATATCTAGTGGATAACTAGTTTTAAGTACTGTATTAACTTGCTATCATGGCTTGCAAATGTACAGTATTACTGACAAGCATTTTTGATGGCTTTTAAAACCCATGTCAAAACACAGGATGAAGGGCATCCTTCAATGGTGGGCTGAATGCCTTGAAAAATCACCATTTGTTTACTGACTTCTTCACCATCTTAATTGTTCAAAACTGTTTCATTACTTGTATGTGTGTGTGTGTGTGTGTGTCAGATTAACAATGAAAAAAAAAACTGTGGCCAAATTTTAAAAATTTCCAAAATAATCATCAATTGTTCAATGGTTGTGTACTTGAAATGCGAATATAACATCTGTCTTGATGCACTTTCTTGACCACAAGAAAGAAAAAAAAAACAATAAAAGGTTGATGGAAAAGAATAACAACACAAAAGGCAACTTTGAAAAGAACAGAATACACATGACAGTAATGATTATATATTTATTCACCACAGACAAAAATAATCTGTGATTTTGTATCTATGTATACAATTTGAAAATTGGCAAGACTTTTGAATATAAACTGGAGTTTGTTTTACCCACCATATTATTTATAATATTCTGCACCAAAAAATAAAAAATAAAACTATTCAAAATGATAAAATTAATTTAACTAAATATGGTTTATTAATGGTAGACAAGACTACCAATGAAAAAGAAGAAAAGCCTTAGGCTTGAAACCAAATCTACTAAGTATATTAGCAACTTAAACATAAAGCTACTGTATGCCTATCAGGAACTCTAAATCTACTAAAAGAGCGGTCAGGAAACTATGGGTCGTTTTTTGGTGGGTCGTATCATAAGATACACAAATTAATGTGTTGTCTCAATTTTGGTGGATTGCTTTATCAAGATCGCAACACAAATGCTTAGGTACCATATAGATATGATTTTTTATTTGAAAAATACAAACATAGCATAAAACCTCTAATAGAAGCCCTGGACTTCCTTGTTTTTTTGCAACCTTTGATTTCTGAGATGGGCTTCTTTTTGAGGCTACTTTTGGAAAGTAAAGGAGATGGGGGGGGGGGCTTCTTTTCAAAAAGAATGCTTTAAATTTTGGGAATTACTATTTAAAACAATAAATACGGCCACTGTAACATCAGTCTGTATCATGGAGTGTATTAACCAGCATTAAATCACCTAACTGTATAAACCAAGCATTTTTAATTTGTTTATTATTGTTTCTTTGAAATTCACGTACAGTAAAGATGGAGGCTTCAATTAAGCCCATTGGGCTTCTATTCAAGGTTTTGTGATGTGAGTTAACACTATCTCGATGCATAGTCCAAAAACGTTCCCTGGCCGCTGTACTAAAACATTTTGCTATGAGATCATTATACTACGAGAAAAGAATACCAGATGGTATAGCACACCTTATTGGTGGATTTGTATGATGGACTGGGTGTAGGTCTGTACGTAGTGACGGATCTAGCAATTCGAAATATAAAGGGCCTGCCTAAGGAGGGAATTTCGCAGCCCCACTAAAACATTTCGCTATGAGATCATTATACTACGAGAACAGAATACCAGACGGTATAGCACAACTTATTGGTGGATTTGTATGATGGACTGGGTGTATGTCTCTATGTAGTGACGGATCTAGCAATTCGAAATATAAAGGGCCTAAGGAGGGAAATTAAACTAGTTTTTATACAATATTTAACTATTACACACCAAATATAAACAGTCCCTCCCTCATCGATAAAAACAAAAGCAAAATAATCTATTGCTCTGATTAAAAAAAAAACCCACCCTCCCTCATCAATATATTGAATAATAACGATCAAATCAATGAAATTATGCATAAATCGTAGTATTTTTGGGGAAGGGGGTGAGGGTGGCCTGTGAAATCGGGTGAAAATTATATTCGATCGGGAGAACTGGAGATTTGTTTAAATATCGGGTGTCACCCAACAGGATCGGGTGAGTTGGCAAGTCTGTGAGAATCCTCATCAACGCTATCATCTTCCTTCTTGGAAGTTCTTGTTGTCATCTTCCTTACAACGATGTTAGTTGTAGTCACCTTTAGCTCAGCTGGGCTCTCCTGGATAAAAAAAAAAACAAAAACAAACGTTTATCACCGTGAATGACATAATATATTTTGAATTAGATTATGTCAGTTGATAGGAATTTTGCTCTATAAGGACATAACATTAATGTATAAACTAGTCTGATTGTTATATATGTAAGTGGTATTATTATACTGTATTTCATTTGTATTGGATCATACAAAATTAATAGAAAAATAAACATTTGAAGTTGTAATAATTAAGTTTTGTTATTTACATCTCATTCAATTATAAAATCTAGCATTGCTGTTTTATTACATACATATATGAAAGACCCAACAGGTTCAACAATGGCGACCATGGGTAGTGAATCATGCCTCAAAATTAGGTTACTGGGTCATGGCCCAAATGTTCCTTGCACTGTACTAAAACATTTTGCTATGAAATAATCATACTACAAGAAAAGAATAATAGTGTAAATTTTGTGGTGATTCTTATTCTCTCAGACTTAAATTTGATAATTATTTTCAGTTCTTAGTTTTTTGTATAATCTTGAAAAATTTAGGGGGGTCATTAATGTTCTTGAGTACTTTGTATATAAGCATGCGTTTAAAAATTATTATACACATGACAGAATCATTAAAATCATCAACGCTATATCATCTTCCTTCTTAGAAATTCTTGTCATCTTTCTTACTACGACGCTGGTAGTAGTTACCTTTTTAGTTTCCTCAGCTGGACTCTCCTGGATAAAAAAAAAAAATTTATCACCTTGAATAGGATTCTATATTTTGAATTAGATTATGTCAGTTATAGACCTTATGCTCGATAAGGGCATATAATTAATTCATAAACTAGTCTTATTTTTTTATATATACATAGAGCCTAAGTGATATTTTTTATACTGTATTTCATTTGTATTGTGACTTACTGTTTCAATCTACCCGTATTTCAATGCCGCCTCCTTATTGATTTCCACTAAGCCACTAATAATAACAATGATAACAATACCTTGTTAAAACTTCTGTTAATGAACTACATTTGATATCTTACAACACATGTTCCTATATAATTGAGCACTGTGTTTTTTGATATATACATTATTTGTGTTCCCAGAGATGCAACAAAAACTTGATTTCATATTATTTCCTATGGTTTACCAGATGGTTACCAACCGTCTTGCATCGTGCAGGACAGTCCCGCATTTCAAAGTGATTTTGGATGAAACACGCATTTTGCAGAAACACATGCGTGATCCTAAATTTGTCACGCATTTAACAGAAGTCTATGCATGATAATGAATTATCACAAATTCAGTGCTCAAAATAAACAGGCCTACATTGAAACCCAAATTGGCTTTATTAATAATATTTTTGCATATGTACCTGTATTATCAACAAAAACTCCCTGAAATCATTTTAAAACAACTTAAAAATGCTCAGATCGTCAGAGCGGTGGGGGTGGTACTTGGTATGATTTCCTATACAGTATATTTGATTATCGTACTGAAACACATGTGGAACCTCAATGTTATATAGGCCTGAAATATTTTTATTTAATTTTGAATTGTTTTTTTAAAAGGTTCTTGAGATTTTACAAACAGTTTCATTGTTCAAGTGTATGCAGAAAGTCAGCCTGAATATGCTTTATGAATTTTAGGTGTTTTTTTTTTTTAATAAGCATACCAAGAGACATGTAAGTTTCAATACCTTGTATGTTAAAGGAAAAAATGTAATGTATTACTTATTTTGTTTGAACTTACCAATCTGCTGCAATCGCATTCAAACTTAGAAGATTTCCTGGATTACTTGGTGCTAGGTAATCCTCTGAAGCCTACAGAGAAGACATAACATTTGTTACTAAGATTATAAACACATAATCCGTCTTGTCACATTAAAGAGGAAAATATAAAAAAAAAAAAATCTTTGCAAAAACAAGCATTCATTGTTAAAGCTACATTACATTTATTTTTAACATTTTAATCTGTTCAACATTTTAACGCTAACTTTTTCAAATGTATTGGTGGTTTAAAATCTGTTTTATTTTCATAGTATTTATAGTATTACATTTTTGTCGATTTTAGCAAGTTAGTATGACCTCTTGACCTTGCTAGTCATCAAGAGGCTGGAAACCATATTGTTTTGTTTCTGATATTCTCAGCCTATCTGCTATTGAATGCCGATAGAAAATATTTAAATTGTGAAGAAATTAAAATAAATTGTAATTACCATAAATTCCCAAAGCATTTTCCCCGTTTTTTGTGCCTCATCATGTCTTTCAGACTTATTTGCAATGTCCTCACTATCAGTCAGATTCTCAGTGAGGACACTGATTTCTTCAAAGGACTCTTCACTGTCCTCATGCTCACTCTCAGTGAGGAGACTGATTTCTTCAAAGGACTCCTCACTGTCCTCATGCTCACTCTCAGTGAGGAGACTGATTTCTTCAAAGGACTCCTCACTGTCCTCATGCTCACTCTCAGTGAGGAGACTAATTTCCTCAAAAGTCAAATGTTCTGATTGCCTGTTTAAAAATTAAAATGTTTCGATAATTAGCATTTTACTGTTTTTTTATGTGTATATAAAAATGGTTTTTTTTTATATGGTGGTTGCTCTTTTCTTACAAACTGCACAAAAAGTACAAAGAATACTAGTAGACGAGAAGCATATACTCTTGAAAAATGTATTTTTAGTTAATTATACAGGGTGAAACAGTAAAACAAGAGCTATATAATGGTAAAAAATCATTTAAATCCAACATTTCCTTATAAAGTTACAAGCATTTAAACATATAGCTGTTTAAATAACAATATTTGAGAAGTCAGCCTTCAAAGTATATGATTTCAGGTATTTCTCATACAGAAACCATCACCAAATTGTTAAAAATTGTTGTTTTGACATTGAAAATGGGGAAAATAGCATCATAGGCTAGCATGATGTATAAATATATAAAGGTTAGTTTAGTGTACTAAAATATATTCTTAAAAATTTGACATTCAAGCATGTTTTGCCCATTATCTCTGAAACCCGATTTGCGAGGAGTAACTCATGGTTTGGCTTGTCTTTGAAACATATAGAAATGGAAATTTCAGTACCTTGGGTACACAATCAGAATGATTAAGATTTAAAGAAATATTTTGGAAGGAAAAGTCGGAGAAAAGGAGACCAGAAAGATGAATTAGGCAGACAAGCCACCACATGAGTCAATAAGTAATTCACTTTTTTCCTGTATTTTGATTATTAATATTATTAAAATCCCTACAAACTTGTGAAAATTTCAAAAAATTTGTTAAATTTGTTCTAACGTTTATTCTTGACCTTATTTCCCATGATAAAATATGAGGCATATTGTGGCAAAATGGCTAAGTTGTAGCAAAAATAATTGAAATTCAAGTTATTGGTATTTTCAGACACCTGAGTATGTGATTTTTAAAATGAGGGGTCATTCATTCAAATTGGACACAAGCCTAAGTTATTGGAAAGTGAAAGTACAGTACTCTTAGAATCAAGATAAACATGATTTTGAGTAATTGCCTTTCAAAGTTATTTGTGCATACATTGTATAATAGAATGAACTATCAAAATAACATTAAATAAACAATTTGTTGACCATTTCCAGACCTAATACTTTGGTACATGTTTAATAAGACATTAAACTGTTGATCTATAGTGAAAAACAAATTTGGATTTTAGGCAATTTTTGAGCTCCCATATTTTATAGCTCATTTACTCAATACTGGCCTGTGCGACAACTTAACCATTTTGCCATGACATGCCTCATATAGCTTGTAATAAACCCGGCTATCCTTAAAACGTGGAGGAATAACTTTAAACCAAATGAGTACCATAAAGTTCAATTAATTAATGTTTGTAACAACCACCATTATTATATACACACAGGCTTGTAGTTAAACCATATAAATAAGTATTATTGTCATAAAAACATGTTTTTAATTGTAAAAATATACTAAAACTGGACACTACAATATTGCCCTCTTTATACGGATTGAATAAAAAGTACATGTTAATAAAACAGGACACAAAGTTTATTTAAAAAAATTCTACTCTAGTATTAGGACTAAGTTCACATTCAAATACCAAATTATAAAAATATATGCATCCCCCCTAACTACAAATCGGTGTTAAATATTCGCTATTTATTATAAGGTGACAAAAGGGCCTAGGTGGTAACGGGCCTAGGGTGCCAATGAGTGTTAAATGTCTTTGTTGGGTTTGTAAAGGACGCTATATGATCGTCGTACCCAGTTTAGAATGTTTTTTTTTTCCAGCGGAGACTACACATAACAGCATTCCTCTTGTTTTCTGCAATTGCAATTTTTATTCTTAGGTTGTTCTGTTTGTTTTGTTGTGTCTGCTGATGGTTTTTTGAAGGTTACCCATCCAACTGTGACTGGTTTTTATTGTATTGTGGTTGATTAGTTTGTGCATGGTTCAGTGGGAATACATAACCATAGACTTTTC